ATCATCTAATGGGATCCCAGTCAGGACAGAGCAGATGAGATATGGGATTAGATTACAGAGAGATAGGAGAGAAGAGAGGGGATTACAGCTAAAGAGGAGATTAATTTGGACTTCATTAGATTACAGGTGAGACCACATTAAGGTTGAGGAGACTGGATTATGGTAGATTAGGTTGGATTACAAATCAGGGCAGGCCAGATTAAGGATGGGGAAACTGGATTATGGTATATTTGTTGCCATTACAGATCAGGGCATATGGTATTATGCAGATTCTGGGCAGATTAGATGAATCTTGATTAAATTACAGGGTGGGGATTGGAATATGTTACTGCTAAGAAAGATGAGACTTAATTCCAAATAAATCAGATTAGATTAGATGGTGGTTGAGGAAGAGATGAGATTAAGAGGAAGAGATTGGATTAATTCAGGGCTGGGGGAGACCAGGTGACATGGAAGGAGACTGCACTGAGGGATGATAATCTGATTGGGGGGATGAGAAGAGATGAGGTGAGATTATACCTGGGGGAGATCAGATTAGATTATACACTAGGGAGATTACTGTAGATGGCATTATCCTAGATAGCAGGTAGGAAAGATGAAATAAAATGACATTGGGAGACAAAATGAGACTAGATTACAGATGGGGTTGAGGATGGGGATGGAGAGATTAGGGATGTCATGAAAAGTGGCGATACTGAAATAATATTACAGATAACGACATTGAAGTGAGATTAGGGTCCTAATCCGGGATATTATATGGGACAGGACTAGATAAGAAAGATGGGATGAAATTAGATTATGGCCATGGGGAGATAAAATGAGTGGCAATTAGCCTGAGGAAAATGAGTAGAGATGAGATGAAACAACGAGGGGGGATTAAATTATATCCCAAGTAAGGAAGAAAACATGAGATTAGATGCTAGAGAGGGGAGATTAGAGGGGACTAGATGGGCTGGGTGAGAGCTAGGAAAGGTGGGGTTAGATTACACATGGAGGAGAGGATATCACAGCAAAGCAGGAGAGGGAATACAAATGGGATTATATTACATTAGATAAAATTATGTTAAATCAGGATAGATTAGATTAGACTACTATAGATTAGGATGACAGACAGGGAGGTCAGGAGAGATGCGGTTAGATTACACTTGGAGGAAAGGAGATGAATTCAGAACAAGATGGATGGGAGATTAGATTAGATTAGACTAGTTAGGATCAACCTAGTCTGGATTAGATTAGTTTTAGAGCCAGGGAGACGAGAAGCGATGAGGTTAGATTACACCTGGAGGAGAGGAGGTGATATCAGAGTGAAGGAGGATGGGGGGTGAGAAAATGGGATTATGTATGACTAGTTTAGATCAATCTAGATTAAATCAATCTAGATCAGATTAGATTAATATAGATTAGACAATTATATATTAATCTATTATAGATTAGACTCTAATAGATTAGACTATGATGGATTTATATTACAGGGAGGGAGGTGAAAAGAGAGGGTTAGATTACACTTCTGGGAGAGGAGAGGATATCGCAGCAAAGGAGAACGGGAGACATATTGGGATTAAAGTACATTAGACTAGACTAGATTAGGTCAGATTAGTTCAGATTAGACAATCCTAGATTAGAATTACAGGCAGGGAGGTGAGGAGACATGAGGTTATATTACTCTTGGAGGAGAGGAGAGGAGAGGACAGGATATCCCAATGAAGGAGATGGGAGATTAGATTAGAACCGATTAAATTAGAATAGATTATCCTGGATTAGATTAGACTCCTCTAATTTAAGATTACAGCCACAGAGGAAAGGGGATTAGGTGGGGAAAAGACTCCAATCCCGGCACTGTTACCGTCCAGCGTCCTGGCACCCCACCGAAATCCCAGGCCGGAGACCATGGCGTCCCAGCGACACGCTCCCAATAGCCACACACCCCGCCGCCAATTAGACAGGATTAGCCAACGGCCCCGCCCTTCACCGGGGATTAACCTCCCTTCCCCCACCGGTGGCTCGGGCGGGGTCAGCGGCATAGGGGCGGGGACAGATGCCAGTGCAGCCGGGCTGGGAACAGGGCCCGGTTTCCCACCAATGGCGTGCCCCTGCGCCGTGCGGTGGGCGTGGGAGTATAATGGGATGCTCATTACACGCACGGAGCCGGGAGAGGCTTGGCAGTGTAGAGCAGTCCTTAGAGATGCCTGGGCTCTCTGGGGCAGGGGAGCAGGGCATGCTGGGAGCCCAGACGCTTGGGTTCCCTGGGGAGGAGGTAGAAGAGCCCATAGGGTCAGGAGTTAAGGGTAGGGTTATGGGTAAAAGTTAGGGGTAGAATTAGGGTTAGGGTTGGGGTCCTGGATGCCTGGGTTCCCTGGGGTGTGGGAGAGCAGGAGCAGGGGATTCTGGGAACCTGGACACCTGGGTTCTCTGGGAGAGGGGGTAGAAGAGCCCATGGGGTTGGGGGTCGGGCTCTGGTTATAATTAGGTTTGGGGTATAATTAGGGTTAGGGCCCCAGATGCCTGGGTTCTCTGGGAGGGGAGGGGGGCTAGGGGGTGAGAGCAGGGCATGCTGGGAGCCCGGCCACCGGGGTTCTCTGGGGAGGGAATAGAAGAGCCCATAGGGTCAGGGGTTAGGGGTCAGGTTATGGATAAGGTTAGGGTTAGGGGTATAATTAGGGTTAGGTTTGGCTTCCCAGACACCTGGGATTAGGAGATTTGGGAGCCCAGACACCTGAGTTCTCTGGGGCATGGGATTAGGGGGGTTGGGAGCCCGGATGCCTGGGCTCTCCAGACAGGGACAAAACACCCCCCCACCCTCCTGGGGTTCCCAGCCCGGACTCCTGGCTTCCCTCCCTCCTGGCTTCCCTCCCCTCCCTGCTGGAACCCGTCAGACAGCTCCAGGCCCCACCCCGCCAGGGTATTTAGGCTCCCGCCGCCCCACAGGGATTCCTGGGTCCCATCTCCGGTGGAGGGGGGCCCCACCGGGCAGCTGCGGGATGGGGGAGGGCCGTGGGGCCTTGCTGCTGCTGGTGCTGGGCCTGGCTGCAGGGCAGGGGCCCAGGATCTTTGGCGCCGGCTGCAATGGGACTCACACCCGCGGCCTCGGTGAGACCCAAACACCCGGGCTTCTCTGGGGGTGAGGGGAGGTGGGAGCAGGGGCGGCCTGGAGCCCAGATGCCTGGGTTTTCTGGGGTGGGGTAGAAGGGCTCGCAGGGGCAGGGGTAGGGACGGTTATGGTTAAGGTTAGGGTTAGGGGTATAGTTAGGGTTAGGGTTGGGATCCTCAGATGCCTGGCTTCTCTGGGGGGTGGGGGATTAGGAGCCCGGACACCTGGGTTCTCTGGGTCGGGGGTGGGAGCAGGGGGTTCTGGGAGCCCGATTCCTTGGGAGGAGGGTGGGATCCTGTGGGTCAGAGGATGCCTGGGTCCACCAGGAGTGGGAGCCTAGGGGTTAAAGTTAGGAGCCGGGAGGCCTGGGGTCTCTGACAGGGAAGAGGGGGGAGAGCGGGCTAGGAGCCCAGACACCTGGGGGGTGCGTGTGTGTGTGTGTGTGTGTGTGTGTATTTGTCCCAGATGCCTGGGTTGTGTGTGTGTCTCTGTGTCCCAGATGCCTCCCATGTTGTATGTGCGTGTGTGCATGTGTTTTTGTGCGTGTCCCAGATACGGGGGGTGTTGTCACAGACACCTCCCACGATGTATGCGTGTGTATCTTGGACACCTGGATTCTCTGTATATGAGTGTGTGTGTGTGTGGCCCAGATGCCTGGCTTGAGTGTGTGCGTGTGGCCTGGACACCTGGGTGTGGGTGTGGGTGTGTACTAGAGACCTGGGTTGGGTGTGTGTTTGTGTCCCGGGCCAATCCAGCATTTTGTGTGCATGTCCCAGACACCTTGGTTGTGTATGTGTGTGTGGCCCAGATGCCTGGGTTATGTGCGTGTTTGTGCCCCCAACACCTCCCATGCTGTGTGCGTGTGTGTCCCGGACACCTGGATTGTGGGTGTGTATACCTGACACGTGGGTTGTGTTTGTGTTTGAGTCCCAGACACCTCTTGCAATGTGTGTGTGTGTCTGCATGCACTCACATCGCAGACCTCTAGGTATGTGTGCGTTTGTGTCCTGGAGACCTGGGTTCTGTGCCTGTGTGTCCCAGATGCCAAGGGGGCGTGTGTGCGTGTGTGTGTGTGTCCCAGACGCGTGGGTCCACTCCTGGCTCCCATGACTCACCCAGGCGTGTTGGGAGTTTCTGGGCTCCTTCCCAGATGCTGCCCCCCGCCCCGCCCCGCCCCGCCCC